CTATCCTGCAGTGCGATTTTCTTCCCCAAGCTCAGTCCGTTCTTTCCCTTTCACCTACCTTTCATGGCATCCATTTTCATTCAACTGCCATGTTTACCCTCCACAATTTATCATCCTAATCGAAGTACACAACAGCAATGCAACTTTTTAATTGGAGCTATCACTAGACCAACACCCCCGCTCTTTCCCCTCACCAAAGTTAAACGCATTTAAACCGTAGAAAAGCCACAAGAGTAAGAACACTATTCTCTCTTATGCCACCGAACGAACCCGTTTTGCCACGTTCGCCGCAAGCAACCATTTACGCATTTTATGCAAGCTTACGCATTTCGCAATGCCCGATGGATTGCGAGGGCGGGGCATTACGTAATACGAGTAGGAAAAGCGGAGAAGCCCGGCTTGATAAACTATAAGCCACAAATTTGCATGAAGCCGCCGCCTTCGACTACAAATTGCCATTAAATGCGGCAAGATGGAGGTGGATGATGGGTTGGGTGGTGGGGGGACGGTTAACGAATGCCCCGCCATACTTTGTGCGGAATCTCACCTTACCCCATCCTACTCCCCCACAGCTCAGCTCACCTCAGCTCACCTGGCTGCTCAACAATAACTGACACCAGTTGCTGGCGCTGCTTTCCACTTTCCACTTTGTTGCAACAATTTGCGCGCCCCAAGCGCCGGCTGCGGATGCGGATACGGATGCGGATGTGGGTTCCAGAGCGGAGCAGAGATGATGTTGCACTGAAAGAAATGCTATAATTATACTTGATTGATATCAAGTGAGTTGTAGAGCAAATATCGGTGATAAAGTTTGAAGAAAGTTATTGGAGTGCGTGGTATCATATTCCAATTAAAGTTTGTTCTTAATGTTAAGAAATTTTATATAATAGAATTTTCTCTCTGTGGATACTGCTGCTGCTGCTTCATTGCATTTAATTCATTTTTATTGCAAAAGCTTACAGACAGATAGAGAGAGGGAAGGGCTATAGGTGTGCCGAGTAAGGAAAGGCCACTTGGGTGTGCTCTTTAAATTATATTGGGCGAAATTTTATGCAGTCGGAGATGCTAAGCAAGGCGAGCCAAGGCATCGTCCCCTCGTCCTTGGCTGGATCCCCGCAGGATCCCTCTGGCGCGGCATGCCATACAAAAGTTTTTACAAAGTAGCTGCGGCAGCTGCTGCAAGTTTGAACAGCATCCATGATGGGTGCAGGAGCAGGGACGAGCCAGGCCAAAGGAGCCAAGGCAGGGCAGGGCAGGACGGGGCAGGACAGGACAGACAGACAGGCATTTTGATGAAGCTGCTTTATATATTGGGTGCGGGCTTTCGCTGTGTGGCCCCACTACTGACGACTCCTGCAGCTCTCCTGCAAGGAGCAGCATAATTTAAATAGCATGTAAATTAGACGGAAGTCTAAAATGAGTGCATAATGTCTACTAAAAGTGTTCTAAGTGATTGTAATTTAGGTAAAAGTTCCAGCAAAAGCGCGACTTAGTGAAGACTGGGATAATGTTTTGGGTTAAATAAGATTACGAGTTAAAATATGGCTTTAGAAAACAAATAAAATAACTGAATTTAAGATAAACTTTGATTTAAACTCTCCGACTAACTACAGTAACTAAAATGAAACTCAATTAATTAACCAATTCATTTTCAAGTTTACTGTGATTACTGAAACAATGAAATTTCTTTCAGCTAAAAAAAAACGGAGAAAACCCTTTAACTGAAAAATTGTGCGTTCATTGTACTTGGTTTTCCTTAAACATTTCCTCTTGCAACATTTTTTTCTTCGGTCTCCTTTCACCACTTTTTTCCAAAGGACATTTGAAGGGAATAACCGAAACGAAATTCGAGGATTGGAAGAGGCAAAACCGAAACAGCATGACCCAGCTAAGACTTGGCTCAAAGTCTACGAGGATTTGCTTGGGTCTTAACACCTTTCACTACCGCATTTCCTTTCGACAGCTTCCCGTGTTTGGCCTACAGGGAGAAGCTGGAAAAGTCCCTAATTTTGGCTCTTAAAGATGTGACTCTAATTTGCTGGAATTTAATGATTGCTTACATGACACTTTGTTAAGGTTTTTGGGCAAACAAATAGTTATTACTTAATTGCACTTCAGAAGTGTTAATATGCTTTTAATTTTAACAATTGATTATGGAATTATATAGATTACTTTGGCTTATATGTTAAATTATTGTATTTCCTATCTTAGATCCCAGATGTAAAGTCAGGAAATTAACTTTTCACTTATATTCATTTGGTGCTGCGCCATATGGAAGTTTTCCCGAGTGATATTGAAGTGTTTGTTGCAAATTAATTAGCTGGGACTAACCACTTTCAGCAACTGTCTAAACTAGTTTCAGCTTTGGCATGTCAGACACTCGGGGAACTGCATTGCAAACAGACTTTCGTATCAACTTTGTTAACTTTGGCATTAAAATGCTTAACCCCATTCCCAGTTACCATCATCATCATCAAAAACAAGCCCACTCGAGGTGCACCGTAATCTATCAATAATATTATTATTCGTACTTGAAGCGAGCTAGTTAAGTTCTCTTCAGCTCGTTTCACTCGCTGCTCCCTCGCCCTCAGAAGTTTAGACTCACTCACTCACCTGCCTTTGGATGGGCACTTGGCTGCGTAAATTTATAATTACTGGAGGCGACTTGAGCCAGTTAAGGTCCCTTTGCCCCAGGCTAGGGGTAGAGGTAAATGTAAAGGCATAAGGAGTTTTGGCTGCAAAAGTTGTATCAACTTGTTGTCTGGCGGGTGACGGTGGCCAAGGCGCCAAGGCAATCTAATTTCCATTCGAGGCACCTAACTCCCAGGAGTCCAGGAGCACAGCACTAAAGCACTCCAGTTTGCCAGAACTGGCCCACAAACTGCCCCCTACTTTGTTGGCTTTTTCATTAGTTTTTCATTCTGAAGCAGCCGCACCTGGAGCTGGCTAAAAAGTTCATTCTAAGCGAAATTAAGTGCCATTTTTATTCGATTTTGTTACCACAGCAGCAGTTTTTTGTGGGAGGTGTATGTTCACCATGGTAATTATACTGGGGTTTCGGAGAGCACTCTTCTCGCTGCAAGTGGCTCGCTTTTTATTGATTTTAATGCAAATGCAATTAAAAATTTAGTAGAGTCCCAGGCGTAAGTGCATTAACATTAACTGAAAAATGATTTATGCTGTGTTTGACATTTTAATTATGCTTGCCGACGCAGCAGCAGCAGCAATAAACAAACAAACAATCATGTTGATATCTCCCCATGTGCCGGCGGAGTGTGAGCGATTTTCATTAAGCTGGCTTTTCCCGTTGCGTTAAAATTTCCGGCCATTTGTTTCAATTTCTGTAGCTTGATGTTAAATGTTTAATGTTCAATCAATTGTATTAAATTATATGGCAAAATGATGCACTTAAAATGCAATAGGTTTCCGCCTGTGGTCGAAGTTGGTTCAGTTTGCAGCAGAGAAAGTTGGATTTTAAATAATGTCAATGGGAGATCAATGTTAATTAAGAGTATATTCTTTTGTGTATTTTAACTGCTTAGTTGTTTACTCATTTATGCTTTCACAAATGTATTGTAATTTCCAGCTCACTCTCCAAAATGTCTCAAAAGAATTGATGGCATTTGGTCGTCTTTGTGGTCCACAACCAATCACTTTAATTAAGCTGTATTTTTCCCTGGACAGCACATCAAAAACCAATTAATTTTTATATATACATATGCCTGCCCGTCCTTGGTAGCTGCTGTAATGTGTAGCCGACAACAATTTGCCAATAGCGTCCTGGACAGGACATACGCATACAGAAGCAATTAGTCAGAGAATTTAACGCAGTTCATTGGGCAGATTTGAGCCTGGCCAAAGCTAATGACATAATTTCGCCATTGACTGGATTAGATAATGCCCGGGACACACTCGCACACTTATTCGCAGCTAATTGTTGTAGGTCCTGCCCGGGACACATTGCAATCTGTTCTAAGCCCGAAGCCGGAGATTAATGATCAGGAATCCCCTAACGAAGTTATTTGGCGAGGAGGAGGAGGAGTTACCCCATTTCCCCCAGTTCAATGAAGTGGCGATGAAGTGAGAAGGACTCCGGTGCGCTGAATCTGAATCCTCTGTTATTTATGATGCATTTAAATTGTTGCTCCTTTGCATATTTACCTTGTTATTTTATTGCGTGACGGAAATGAACAGAAATGTTAAATAAAATAAAGAAAACGGCGGCAGCGAGGGCATCGTCCACATAAACAGCGCGAAAACATTGTCACAGCGTGAGGTCGAATCTTTTTTACATGCAAAAATATTTCATTTCCTTTGACTGCGAAATGTTAAATAATAAAAAAGAAAGCAACAACGGTCGGAATGAGCGACAAAGTAAATTTCATACAGGGCGGTGGGTGGTGGAATGGAGTCGCAGCAAATAAAAAACTGCAATAAAAATCTGTTTAACATGAAGTGCGGCAAACGCACAAAAGTGTGCCAAGATGGGAGGGATGTCCTGGGAAGTCATCCTGCTCTGTCTCGGGCTCCTTTGCCATACACTTTAGAACTTATGAGTGCTAATAAAATTCACTCGCCACATCCCAGACAATTCGCACAAAAAGAGCGAACGAACGAATGAAATTGTGCCTTGGTCCTTCAAGGTGTGCGCTTTGATAAAGACTCCCCAAGACTCCCCCAAGGACTCGTCGCTGGATGGGGTCCCCAGTTGAGTGGAGATCCCAATGGACAGCATGAAAAGGCAAGGATTTCATTTTAAATTTCACAATTTATGGTGCCAGTTGTCGGTTAACAGTGGTTACAACAGTTGCATGCTGCAATTTCTGTGATAATTTTGCAAGCAGAAAAAATGAATAAAAGACGAAGTCCCTGAAGCGAGAGTTCTTATTGTGTATTATTAAGAAGAGATATCCAAAAGTTGTCACATTAAATGGATTATTGTAGATATATATGTAAGTATCCCCTAGATACAATATACATTTCATTAAAGAAAAGTTAACTTGGAGAAATCACTCTCTCAATCACTTCTCTATTCCAAGCGGATCACAGACTTTGAATTTTATGTAATGGCTAAAAAGTGGGCAGCTTTGCTGCTATTGCTGCAGCTGCTCAGCCACCTGGAGACAGGTGAGGCAATGTGGTTTCCCTGGTACTTTCAGCGCTATGGGTTAGAGCCTCACTCGAGTCGACATGGCGGCGGCAACATGTCTTGCCCGCCAGGATACGAGCCCAGGGGTTCCTCCAGTCAGCTGAACGGACAATGTGAAGGATTAGTTGCTGGACCGCCCAAAAAGAATCTGTGCAACGACAATCCGGTGCTGCAGCAGCTGGCCCGCCTCTATGTGGTCAGTCCGGAGAGGATTGTCCTGCTCCTCTCACAGCCATCGCTCGCGTACTCCTGCACCGAGATCAGCGACGTCCTGGACAAAATCCAGGGCTCCATGCGCAACTGTGTCCTGGCACCGGATAATATGTACGGTCGTCTGGTCGATGGCCTTCGATATTTTCGATCGGAAGTCTGCGAGGGAGGCGATCGCAGCACCCGGAAGCGGTGCGTTGGACTGCAGGACTCGCACAATTGCTTCCGGGAGCTGCGCACGGACATGATCGAGTGTGAGGCTCCAGCGGACTGGTATGAGCGTCGAAATGCCACCAAGGTGTGTCACATCTACAACGATGTCCTGGATTGCTATTACACGCGGGCAGCCCTGCTCTGTGGCCTTGAGTCTGCCAAGGAGCTGAGATCCTTTGCCGGCGACACCATGGGCAGGGCCATGATCCATAAGTGTGAGGTCAAGAAACGGCTGCCCCGAGTGGAAAATGCCATGCCCAGTGGCAGTGAGTCTGTCTTTAAATTATTTTATTTCAATTGTTTTATTTTTGCGTGTATTATAGTTTTTTTGTAATAAATATTATATACTTTATGTATATATATTATGTATAACTCCATTGTTTTCGCTTATCTTACATCTGATTTCTCTATAAATTTATATTTTTCGGCTAATTTCCTTATACTTTAAGTTAGTAGTTGTGGCCATTTTTAAGATTTAATAGTGAATCCCATGTAACTATGTAAATACATCATTTATCATTAAATGGGCTAGAAATGTCAACTTAAGTGTTTTGCTATTTTCAACTAAATTTCAATAAATACCCGAGGGACTTAAGCTGTCGACAAAATAAGCCAATTTACTAACACGTACGCCCACACACACACGCACACCCACAGAGTTTCGGGAAAAGCGGGCATATGTGTGTATCTGTGTGCGTATCTGTGAAAGGTGACCGCAAACATACAAACACCGCTCTCAGGATACTCCGGCCACCAAAACCGATGTCGACATCGCTCCTTGCTTAGAGCGAAACTCATCAATTATGTTGGCGCGGCTGGAGAATGGAGAATTTGCACTGGAAAAAAATACGTATAACTGATTATGTAAATCAGGATTTTCTCCGGTGCTACCTCATATTCTTAAATTCGAGAATGTAGTCTCTTAGAATGCATTTCTCTTCCAGTTTCATAGGGATATTCTGGGTTTCCTCAGTTTTTATTTAAGTTTTCTGTAGAAAACTAGAAAGTTATGCAGCTTTTCCTTAGTTCTCTCTATTCTCTCAGTGTATCCCTCTAGCTAGGTGATTCGATGGCTGCGGGTGGTGCTATGGTTCACCTGTGTGGCCTTTGTTAATGACACCTTACCCAATCGCCCAAAAGCGAGATCGAGATGCAATGATTTCGAAGAGGCTTTTGGTGGGTTTTAGCTTTTACATTTGCATCAACCGGAAGGCAAAAAAGCCTCAGGAAATCGGGGTTAACAAATGAACAGCTGACATTCGAGGGAATTCTTTTGGCCTAAAGTAAAAATGCATTAGCAACCGATTGCAGTGTGCTCCATAAGGAATATATCACTTTTGGCTTATGGTGAGAGAAATACATAAAAATGAAATAATTATGGTAAGCATCTCAATGAACTGCTGACATCTGGAGGAGTTTTCTTAAACCTTAAGTAAAAATGCCTTAGCTTTATAAAGAATGTATATCAAAAGCCTTATGGTCAGAGAAATACTTGAAATCTTATCAGAAATAATTATTTAAGATGAATATGGTATGAATCTCAATGCCAAAAGTGAACAAATAAGTGAACAGTTACCACAAATAAGGAAATAATTAAATATTGAATATCACATCCTATCCTACTGCCACAACTTAACTCCTTAACTTGACCAGCTTCCCGTGGCTAATAACTTAACTGATTTCCTGTCCAATTTTCGCAAGAATGCGAATTATTACCACAAAGAGTCGTTCATAAAACGAAGGTTGCTAAAGGTTATTATTGCCAAATACTAAAATTTAATGCCACAATTAAACACGGCAAAAGGAAAGTGCCGTCAACAGCACGCACTCAGAGTAGCCTCCTGTGTAGCCTGCAATGTGGCCAAAAGGGGCGTTTCGGGGGGCGTGTCATCTGTGGGTGTGTGGCGCCTGTTTTGCGTCGCCATGGCTGACGTTGTCTACTCCATTAAAATGAAGTTGCGCTTTTGTTCTCGTCCCCTGCTGATGTCGCCTCTTTTTTGTTGTCGGGCGCCAACGAGACGGCGAAAACAAAAAGCAGATTGTTCACAAACAAAACACGGGGCCACATCTCAATGGGGTTTTACCTGTAAATACGGCCAGGCGACCTGAGAGGATACACCACAACGGTCTGCTCGACAGTCACAGATAAAGTACCTCTTTTTCTCCGAGTCCATCTCTCTATCTCTGTACCAATTTAATGTCCTGCAAGAGGTTATAACGAATTCAACAGGATTTTTTATATAGACAATCTCGAAACTCTAACATCTGATCCTTCGTTTTGCTATCCTCATAAAATAAATATTAACAGAAGGTTATTGAAGAAGGTTGAATTCACTTTTAATTGATAATGAAATATATTTTTTTAGAAACAAAACTGAGTTAGAAGCTTAGTAAACCAAAGTTACAAATCCTTTTTATATATCTTACCGAAAGTGTATTTAAAGATTGGTCTGTGGAAATGTGCTAAAATTCCCCTAGTTTTCCCTTTTTTTGCTTTTCTTTGGCTAAATAAAAATAAGTGCGGTAGAATATAGAGCTTTCTCCGCTGGTATTGCCTTCAACTGACAATAAACATGGCAGTTGAATGGAAAGGCAAGCCGGACAGGACTCTAAAACGCTGGTCATTCCATCAGACAAATGTCCTGTGGCAATATATGTGTGACTCAGTTGATGATTTTAGTTACCGACCCCATTTTTTCCAGTTTTCCCTCAAAACTTGTTTGTGGTCATGTGCTTTCTGTTTCGTTGTTCTTTAATTAGATATAGCTTGTGAAATCTTTAGTAGTTTTACCAGTTTTGTTGCTTAATGGTTAAAGTAAAATAAAGCTCCAAGTGTTCATGTTTTATTAGCAATTGATATTACAACAAATTGAATTCTATATTCTTTTGGGCACTTGACTAACTGCCGAGCAAAGTATTTTTATGACACAACTGCCAACGAAGGCTCCATCAATATTTGTGCAAATGTTTTGCTGACATAATTCATTTCAATTCGTTGCCAATATAACTCAATCACGCCTTCAGCCTCGCTCACCTTATAATTTCATCACCATCAATTCGACCACATTTAGACCCGGGACGCATTTGTTTAAGCCCCGCCATTGAAATACCCGGGCACGTATTGAAAGCCGCAGCAGAAAAAAAGAAAGGCAGACAAAACAAATTCCCAAAAAAGGAGAAAGAAGCATGGAAGTGAGCATATTTAATAAGTTGACAAAACATATTTCACACGCACAAATGCGTCAGCTTTCGCTTGGCTTCCATTTTGTTTGCCCCTCGACTTACGGCCAACAACTGCCTACATATGTCAAGCATCATTATTAACAGATTTTTGGGTGCGACACGCACAAGGCCCAAATGTCTCTGGGCCACCATTTATCCCGGTCGAAAGGTGGGGAGGCACACAGCGTGTGAAAATGTTATTGACATCTATTTCAATATTTATAAACGCACACAGAACGCATGGCCACATGCGACCGATACAAAAGGAGGAGGATTTCTTAGTCTTCATTCAATATGCTGATGCTGAGAGAAAGTGGAGAAAATGCGCTAGAAAATACAATAAACTAGAGTCCATCACCTGAAATTGATTTCCCTTTCAGTTTTATTTTGCACGAACGAAAGCTGAACTTGAATCTGGCCAAAAGGGTTTTGTGGTTGAGCAAAAAGTAGAAAGGAATTTTTAATTTAATTTTACACTTTGAAATTCGGAGAAATGAGAAAGTAAATTGCAATTGAAAGTTAATTACAAAACTATCCCATAGACATTTCCAATTTATAAATTAAATATATTTTATGTACAGATATTGTGGTCTCAATTATTTACAAGAAATAATACTCATTCTTGTGTCACGTAAGCTTGCATCCTTTTGAGCGATTTTCCTCCTCCGTCTACTAGACTCTCATGAAATATGTATAATTCAACGTTTACGAGAGGCGACTTCCCGAGAAAGCCAAGGAGCTCTTCGTCCTGCAACTGACAGGGGAATTGGCGGTGGAGCCGAGACCTGATTCCTCCATTAGCTTCTGCTGCGGACTTCTCGACTGGCCGCAGCACAAATGCCATGGCATTGGGGCTGACACTAATACGCAAAGCCCGGTTGGGCAACTAATAAGCGAGAGCCGAGGTGTGTCCAAACTGGCCAAAAGGACACACAGCTGCCCCGGACACGCCGCAGAGTTTGCGGCTCCCAGTGGAATCCCGGGCCGGGAGTAAGCAATTGTCCGTCAGAAAGTGCAACAAGCAAATTAAACCCATATCAAATGGGAAGAAGCCTTGAATTGAATTATAAGACGGGTCGCCTTTTAAAGTGCCCCCAAACTAAGCATAAGAATACGTGACTTCATGCAAGGTCGACTTAATTGACGAAGTGGAAAAATGGGAAGGATATACGTATACAAATTAGAAACTAGAGCTGAGATAATATGAATTTCCAACCAGTCTCACGATTAAATGCAAGTACAGCATTACTTACCCCAATAATTTACTTGCGATTGGTTGCGAAAGACTTTTCCCCCACTTAAGTTCCCATTCAACTCTTGAAATAAGAAATACAAGTATCAGAAAACTTATTCGCAGAACAAACACTTTGGGATACCCACAGTGCCGCCTGTATAAGAGCCTTTTAGGAATTTAAATCACCGCCAGAGTCGGCCAAAGACCTGTCTCAGACATGCAAAACTGAAGAAAAATGCCTGCGAAGTGAGCGAGTGAAGGGAAAATACCCAAACGTTGGCATATTTATGCGCAATGACCGAAGGATTGCGGCAGAGTCCAAGGCTGCCACGCAGAGTTCAATGCATTGATTACAGCTCGATAACGCATACGCCCCGTTGTCCGTCGTCCATCGTCGAGCGCAGACTCAATGTTAAATTAATACCTGCCACATCGACTTGGGGCCCGGGCTCAGTAATTTATTGATTGACCCCTCAACATTGCCCAACGAAATCGAAACTTAAACAATTTCGGGGGAAAAGTCGGGCAGGACGCTTACATACGGCAGACAACCTTCAAAATGTAATGGACAAATTATTCACAGCGGCCTGGAACTTATTTAATTTATAATCAAAATCACAACCGAGACCCTCAGACCTCCCCGCACCGGAAAGTCAATAAAAGTCAAGTAAAACGAAACTTGTGGCATTTGCGCTTATTATTGGGCATTCAAATTGCCTCAAGCATGAATTATTATGGGCGACCAACGAACGAATCAAATTTGGCTCAAATTCACGCACTGTTTTGTTTGCCATTGAATTTTGGTGAAACGAATGCAAATAAGCGTAAAGATTCGCTTAGTGACTTTGACC